CTCAGTCTGTGTTTTGGCGGGTCATTACATCTTCTTTTTCCTCCTCTTCTGTCTCTTTGCCCTTTTCCTTCTGCTTCGTCTCGTGTACTCTGGGTCGCCCGTCTCAGGGGTCTTCAAAACCCAATCCGTTTTGCGTACTCGTTCAACTCCTAAGGGGAAGATGAAACGAAGCATCGGCTGCACGAGAAAGGAGAAAGTAATAAAAGTAAACTTTGGGTACTTCTCCACGGTGTTAGGTTGCACAACAATCAGCCAAATGTTTACTACATAGACTCCAGTTGTTTTGGCCTAAAACAGTTGACTTTGGCTTTATTATAGGCCTGGGCAACTTCACTCACAGAGCTGACTGTGTGATGGTCTGCAAGCTCGTGGCCCAACAGAAGGGTTGGCTAACGAGCGACCACGAGTTTGGTCAACTCAGCCACCATAGCTTCATATTGTAGAGGTTTGTCAATGCTATTGTGAATGTGTTATGCACGGTCTTTAGAAATTATTTAGTGTTGCGAACAGGACCACACGGCCAGGCGGATAGTCCTAAGAGTGACTCCAAACGGAGTCCGGTCTCTCTGATCTGTACAACCCACAACACTTAGGACTTGTAGTCTTGTTTCTGAGAACTTCAGTCAGTGTCTTTGCGAGTTGACCACATTCTGGCTAGCACCAGTCTTTGGGCCTAGACAGGTTCCAACTGCTGTGACTTTGAAAGGCTTCACAAAGCCAACCCACCTATCTACAAACATCCACCAGTGTTGTCAACCGAAAACCTATTGACAACAACATACATTGATGACAGCAGCTCGAGCCAGCAGGAATAGACCACTGAAATCCAGCATCAGAGCACAACACGTGCATGCAAGGCTAGGCATACGGGGTACCTCCCTTCCGGTCTGGTCGTTGAAAATCCTCAATGGTCGCTGCAACTCACTCCACGCGATTACTTGTCGGTAAGTATCTCTTCTTCGTTCGACCCCTTCTTCGATCAGCGTCCTCTAACCCTATCCTCTTGTCAGTCAACGTCTTTCTATGCTGCTGGCACCTAATTATCTCTGCCTAACTTTTTAGCGAGACTCTCCCGTATCAGGACCACTTCTCGTACCGCTAGGATCCTGCTTGACGAAAACTTTGACCCAAAAACTGTCGCGTTGCTAGCTTTCGTCTTCCCCCCCCCCATGATAGTCTCCTGTGTATCGTTCCCATTTTAACGGATGTACGGAAGGACACTGCGGTGGTAGTTTTGACATCATTTTTGTCATTTTCTTTGTTGAAAGGGGTGAAGGTCAGTCCGGCAATCTGCTGTTGGTTTTACTTATCTTGTGGATTTAGACCTGCACAATAGGATGCTCAAATGCCTTGTGTGAAAGTGAAAATGACTGCATCGGCATAGACCGGCTCTGTGTGTGTCGGGGGGTGTGGAGTTAAATGGCCGTTAAAAGCCGTTTAATTCCCCCTACCCTGTTAAATTTCCGTTGAATCAAAAATGGGCGGGCTCCTGCCATTTGTTTTTCAATGGATTGGGTCTGCGGGGGTTTGGGTATGTACCCCAGCACCCCTGCATGATTAAACTAAAAAAAAAGGAACCCCCCCCCCCCCCCGGGAAAAAAAAAAAAAAACCCGTTTCGTGTGTGTGTGTGTGTGTGTGCGCACGCGTGTTGAAGATATTTATCACCTTATCTGAGTGTGTGGTGGAGTATTTGTTTGTTTTTTATGCGTTGCCACCTCTGCGGCGTAGGTGCGAGTTGAAACCAAGCGTAAAGTTTGGCTCGCAAGTGCGTCGTAGTTGTAAAGCTTCGTATGAGAAGCTTCGGGTATTTCATACCGAGTGACCTGCCTGTAAGGAAAATTCGAGAGGGACGTATCTGTAAATACGGGAAAATACAGGCCCGTACTAACTGAATTTCCTACAGCTAACCTAATTGCGAATAGCAGGCCCGGGTTACCCGTAAGACAGACAGGCCCTACAGGCCTATGCTGATAGACGGTCCTATAGCCTATAGCTGGGTAAGGTAGAGGCCGAGAGGCCGAAACTGAATCGGTACCGGGCAGTCAGTCAGTCCGGCCTAGGTCGAGTCTAGGCTAGTTTTAGTCTATAGATAGGATGGGCACATCGGTTCAGGCTTTTGGCAGTTGGTACCGAGTACATCGCTGCTGTGCTACGAGTGAACCGGAAGTGGTGACGGCTCAGCGTGGAAGAAGACAGGCATAGCCAGACCTTCGGAGCGCCGGCCATAGCTCGGACCTGCGCTGTACGCTGCCAGCACGTAGGGGCTGTCAGAGGTCCGAGAGAAGTTGGTGCCCTGCTGGACCCCTTCTCCGGAGTGGGGCTCCAGGGTTGTGGCGCTGCAGCCAGCTGCAGCTTCTTCCTCAGAGGTCATCTTGTCAGGAGTTGGTGGGGCTGCTGCAGACTTCCATCCGGGAAGTCTTCCGACACTTCGTCATCATCAGATACTGTGGCGCTGGTCTTCTTCTTCATCCTCTGAGTGGCGCTTGGCCTCAGAGGCCTGTTTCAGGGTGGCGCTTCCCTTTGGAGGCTGTATCTGGGTGGCGCTTGATGTTTCAGGGGCTCAGGGGTGTCACGGGTGGTTACTCGGGGTTGGGGAGTGAAGCGCTGCTCATTTCTGAGCAGCGCACTGTAG